AGAAGCACCCTGAGTAGGTACGTGGCTTTCACACCCCTCAAACTACACAGAGCAGGGAAAAGTCTTGGAGCGGATGTTAACGCCACATCTCCCCCGAGCTCTACAGCCAGATGTTAGGCATGAATATCTCTGATGCATTTAATTCTGAGAGTCTCATCCTCGCACTTTAGACTCTGGAATTCCCCATTCAGGGCACAGTCTGACCAAGTGTTTCTTAGAGCTGTCACCTCCTTGGGGATTGGTTGCCACAGGACTGTGGGGTAGAACATGGGCCTGTCACTACTGGGCACTGAGCACATTCAGCCCAGGATAGCAGGGATCAAGAGTCTGTCCCACTCGAGGGCTGTTTGGAGACCTGTGTGGAAGGAGCTGGGTTGAAGGGAGCTGGTGTCTCAGTCTAATCCCTACTGGACAGATTCCTTCAGCCCTTCACATGGAAACCTCCTGTCCCTCAGCATCTGGAGACTCTATTCCCCTTTACTCCCCCAGCCAGTCTCCACAGGACAGAAGTGAAGAACAGAAATGGGATCTTTGAGGGGAAGGTTGCATGTCCATGGGATGTGTTCTCCCTGCTCTTATTCTCCTTTGCTCCCCCAGCCAGTCTCCCCAGGCCAGAAGTGAAGAACTGAAATGGGATCTTTGAGGGGAAGGTTGCATGGCCATGGCATGTGTTGTCCCTTTTCTCAGGCTGGGAGAATTGGAGGAATTCTAACTCCAGGCCTGTTAGAGCTGAGACTTACTAGCCAGAACTTATCAGCAGTAAACGACATACAATCATATGGAATTGTTTCTGTCCAGGTGTAAGATGGGGCAATTCCAGCTGCCAGAAGATATTTCCCCTGAACTAGAAGAACAAGTCAGAGGTTTCTCTCAGAGAACGATTGCTCTGTCGGAGACTCTGAGGGAGTTCAAAGGTACCTGGAAGGGATGGATGAGGGGAAAGCGGTTCAAGTATCTGCGACTATTGAATCTGGCCTCTGAAGCCAACCTTTCCCTGCCTCAATTCCCATGTAGACAATGACGGCCCCATCATGCTGCTCTCCTTAGAGGCACTGAGCAAACAGACCCAACTGCTTGCAGATAGCCAGGGCTTTGCAAACTCTGAACCTCCCATTCAGAGATCAAAATGGCTAAGTTACTGTGATGGCCACGTGTTCCGCCACCACAGCTCCAGGTTATGATAAGAGGCAGTAAGTGAATGAGAAACCAAGTGGGAGGGGATGAGGAGGGAAGAGTAAATTTCATTTACCGCTTGTCTGTCCTGGGACAGGTGTGAGGCTGCAGGGATATTGGCTCCATTGCTGGGAGGTGCCCGAGTGAGAGAGGAAATGAAAGTTTCAGACTCTTTCATACTAAATACCTGTGTGTGTCTCTGATAGAATTGAAACTCAGAGTTCAGAGTGGGGACATTATTATAAATAGGAGAGCCTGGAATCTCACCTCTCTTATCCCTTCCCCCACTAGACACTCTGCCCTCTGCACTGGAGAGAGCAAGAGGAAAATCCCTTGGAGCTTTCAGACAAGGTGAATTTGCTGGTGGAAATTCTTTAAGTGATGTGAGAATTCCTCTGAAAACATCTTCATGGGATTGTCATTGGAGTTACCAACCAAACCCAGCGACCACGGTGCGCAGAGCCGTGAATCACCCAGTGATTAGTGAGGAGCCCCAAGGGTGCTGCATGGGGACCTGTGGACACTTGGAGAAACACCGGTCTATAGGTTTGTGATGCTAAAGTGGTGAAGTTAAAGCATAAAACGGACGGCACCTTCAGGCTCAGATTTCACTGCTCAGTCAGTTTCAATATGGGGTTGGTTTCAAACAATAAATAGGCTGAAAGGCTCCTTCACCCAAACTCCCTCCTAGACCCCTCTACCTGTCCTGCATCCCATACCGTTACCAGAAGCATCCGCCTCCTCTCAATGCCCATCCTAGATCCTCCATTTCCTGCATTTATGTCATGGAAGAGTGCAGCTCTCACCCACTTTCTATTTGGCCCCTCCATGAAAATTTGGCCCACCTCTTCGAATGGATACAGCTCAGTAAGAGCCAATAATTGAAAAAGGCACAAATGTTTTATAGGGAAGCGGATTAGCTGCTGAAACAAATGAATAAAGAATTGGTGGATTCTCCTATCTCTTGATGTCTTCAAATCACTGGGGGACTTTTTAGAAAATATACTGTGGGGAAACACCTTTGTGCCCGGGTAACCGGACTAAGTGTAATGGCTTGTGCCACTGAGGGATGACTTGTGCATGACTGAGGATATCTTCTGATCCCATGAATCTTAAGATCTCATCCTACAAACACTCAGCACCAGTGTTTACTAATAAGCACACGTATTTAATAATACCACCACCATTCAGATGCTTAATTTCACTGATTCTCTGTTGTGGAAAGGGTTTATAACGTCTCTGTGAGATGAGAGCAAAGTTTGTCCTGCAAATCTGTGAATGAAGACTAAGGATTTTAAATACAGCAGCCTGCATTTAACCTATGTCCATGTTCAAGCAGATGAATATGTGGCTTGTTATCAGAAACACTGGGTGCTGAGAACTAGATCCCATTGTTGCAGACACAGTAATCTTGTAACTCAAGCCAGGTATGGAGAAATGAATATGGATTTGGGATCTAACTCCCATACGCTATTAATGGAATATCCAGAGAGAGTGCAGCAGAGCGCTTAGCTGCCCTGGGGAATGAGCTGGGCCATTCCCAAGGTGGGGGAGTGATGCATCTTTACTGCAGGTGTGTGTGTCCTGGGATCTTGTACCAGCCAGAGCCCAGTCTCTGCAAGGTGGGGAAAGGAGCCTCTACTCAGATCCCAGCTCTGGAAGCAGTAATGGCAAAGACCTTAATGAACAAGATCAGCACTTGGTTTTTTGCTCTCCAAACAGCATTTCCAGTCTCCAAAACTGATGGGATCTCCTGGGTGGAGCGAGAGTGGAGTAAGGGGAGATCATCAGCAACACCCTGACAGGTGAGCAATCAGTTAAACTGACTCAGAAACCAATTTCTGTCTTCTTAGAGCAGATGTAACTTGTGTGTTTTCATGAAGTCTCACTGTTTATTCAGCTTGTCTTCTTCTCCAGTCAGAGTGTGGTGGGCGAGGAAAGGCTGGGTTCTCTTCTCTGTGGAAGGGTTGTGTAGGAGGACAACGAACTCAGCTCATGATAATTTGACCATTATTTGAGCTTGTGTCCCCTTTTCTATTCCTCTTTTAGAGTTTCCTTGCAGTTCATCGTGGAGAATAACTCCTGTCTGGATCATTCCTCTATTCCAACAGGTGACGGGACACTGACCGAGAACCATGAAAAGAGTCTTCAGCTGGAAGGACTGGAGCAAGTGTCTCCATGTGGACTATTACTGAGACGATCTGAAGGACGTGTTTTCCAGATATGTGAGCAAGGGGAGAGCTGTGAGAGTCAGTATACCCCAAAAAAGCAGCAGGGAAATCATCTAGGAGAGGGACAGGGTAACTCCAGTAGCAGGAGCACAAGGGAGAAAAGAAACACAGAAACCGTTCAACAGGAAATCCGCCATCAACAGTCACCCTGCACGTGTAGTGACTGTGAAACTCTTCCTGAACATCAAAGGGTCCATACGGGAGAGAAGCCCTTCAAGTGCTCTGACTCTGGGAAAAGCTTCAGTGAGCACTCACACTTTACAAACCATCAGAAAATAAATACAAGAGACACACTCCATAACTGCTCTGACTGTGGGAAAAACTTCAGTACAAACTCACACTTGGTTATCCATAGGATGGCTCACACAGGAGAGAAGCCTTTCAATTGCTCTGTGTGTGGGAAAAGCTTCAGTCAGAAGTCAAACCTTGTTACCCATAGGAGGACCCACACAGGAGAGAAACCCTTCAATTGCTCTGACTGCGGGAAAAACTTCAGTAGTAGCTCATACCTTGTTACCCATAGGAGGAACCACACAGGGGAGAAACCTTTCAATTGCTCTGACTGCGAGAAAAGCTTCGGTCAGATTTCACACCTTGTTAGACATAGGATGACCCACACAGGAGAGAAACCCTTCTACTGCTCTGACTGTGGGAAAAGCTTCAGTAGAAGCTCATACCTTGTTACCCATAGGAGGATCCACACAGGAGAGAAACCTTTCAATTGCTCTGACTGCGGGAAAAGCTTCAGTCACCGCGCAAGCCTTTTAAACCATAAGAGGACCCACACAGGAAAGAAACTTTTCAATTGCTCTGACTGCGGGAAAAGCTTCAGTCAGTGCTCCTGCGTTACTAGCCATCAGAATACATACAAGAGAGTTGCTTTATAAAAGCTCTGATTACAGAAAAAGCTTCAAACACAGGTCAAACTTTGTTAAAGATTAGACAGTCCACAGAGGGGAGAAAACCATTCAGTTATTCTGACTATGGGGAAAGCTTCAGTCAGAGCTCAAATCATCTTAGCCTTTGGAGGACCCACACAGGGGAGAAACGTATAACCTGACTTCCCTTTAAGCTGCCTGGCCAGGTGGCTGTGGTCCCAGAAGACCCTTTGGGGAGGGTCTCCTGGGGTACTGACCTGGCCTCTGCCACTCACCTTTCTGCTCTCTGGGGCTTCTCACCACCCAGTCCTGCTGGGGCAGCTTTTTAGTCTCCCCTGGCCAAGACCCCGAGCTGAGATTCCCGCCCCCACGCCTGCCTCTGAGCAGTGGTACAGAGACTGAACCTCTTCAGGTCTGAGGAGAGAGCAGTTTAGGGCCCAGCTTTCTGGGATAGCACTCCCCAAATGGGATCAAACCCCGAAGAATGGGGTAAGCCCCATTTAGCAATGAAAGGGGAATGTCCACACCGATTGCTCCCATAGGTAGTAATTGTTTACACTAGGCTTGATAGTAAGTAAAAGTGGTTTTATTAAGTACAAGCTGTAGGATTTAAGTGGTGATAAGTGAGAACAGGCAGAGCAAAGCAGATTACAAACTCAAAGGTAACAAAAAATGCTTTGTTAATGCTCCACTGAAACTTCAATACAAACTTTTACAAACTCCCCCTAAAACCTCTTTTCCAGCTGCCCCTCCAAACCAGGGCGCTCCCCCAACTGTGGGGTCTTTGGCTCCTCCCTTCAGATGCTGCCCAGCCAAAAGACCAAGTCCTCCAGGTGGATGTTATTTCCAAATAACGGCTTGCTGTGTAGACACGCACTGTAATTCCGAAATAAGGCTGCTGTGTAAATGCACCCGAAGGGTCACTGAGCAGTGGCCTGGGCTCCCCATACTCAGGAATCCCAGTGTGGTTTCTGTGGTCCTAATTCTGGCTTCTGAGGGCTGCAGGAGAAAGACCTGGTGTGGACAGGGAAATCCCAATGAACCTCCCAGCAGAGCATGACTGGTCCCATCTCAGAGCCCTGGTTCCGTCTCTGGGTTTAGTTCCTGCTGGGCTTTTCTGGACTACTCCAGATCACTTGTTCAGGTGAACTTGTGTTTTTGTTTTAGTACAATGACATATAGAACTTTTTAACTAACACAGACATGTAATGAGGCAAGAAATAAAGCAGGTTTATCTACTGCAGAAGAAAATGAGTAAGTTTATTTCCTAGATTCTGAGGCTTAAAAGATTTCCTTATGTTTCACTCTTAAAAATGTGAACATGTTGAATAACCTACCCTGTGTTGTGGGTTTTCTCTCTGTGAAGGCCTTCGTGTCATGCACTTTGATCTCTGGTTAGTTAGATGTGCAGACAGCACAACACAAATGAGAACTTACCAGAATAAAAGCAGTAAGGAGTCCTGTGGCACCTTATAGGCTAACCGAAGTGTTAGAGCATAAGCTTTCGTGGGCAAAGACCCACTTGGTCAGATGCATCTGACGAAATGGGTCTTTGCCCATGAAAGCTTATGTTCCAACACTTCAGTTAGTCTATAAGGTGCCACAGGACTCCTCGCCGCTTTTGCAGATTCAGACTAACACGGCTATTCCTCTTACAATGAACATTCTGGTAAGTTATATTTTAACCATATGTTAGCCTTTGCCACAAGCTCTGTGTGCAGTTTAAGCAATGATAATGGTCAGTATGTCTCAGCAGTGGGGCTGGAGCAAAGGAAGATGGGGCGGCATGACTGTTGCCCTGACACTGTGACATCCACCCTCTTCCCCCCAGAGATGCCCCTGTCTGCAGGTTCCTAATCTCCCAACCCAAGCCCTCCAGGCCAGGTACAGCTGAGCTGGGCCAGCTACAGCCTGGCCACGGGGCTGCTATCTCAGTTTAGACATATCCAAAGTGATTCCTTTTGAGTTGGTGTCTCAGGGAGTCTCTCCACTTTCTGGCCCCCCATGTGTGAGTACTGCTTTCTGGGGGTGTCTGGGAGAATTGGGCTGGGGCCAGGGCCGGCCCAAGCCTTTCTTGCATCCTAGACAGCGGGTGCATGCTGCCTGCACCCCTCTGCCCCAGGGCGGCAACCTATGGGGGCACCTGATGCGGTGTCCCTTACCACTTCAATCAGGTGCCTCCATAGGTTGGCACCCCTGCTAGCCTGTGTGTTAATCCAGCCCTGGCTGGGGGTGCAAGTGCCAGGCTGAGCGGGGTGGGGATGGGGACAAGAGTTTGTCTTTGTTTCCCCTTTGCACATAAAGCAGATGGTTAGTTTCTCCCACTCCTGAACTATGTCTACACTCGTGGCTTCTTGCGCAATAAGAGTCCCTGTGAGACTTCTCAGCCCAAGTGCAGAGACTGTGGAGTCTCCCACTCCCAGCCCAGTGGCAGAGGGGCAGCGCCCTGAGAAGGCAGGTCACGAAGCAGCAGAGACCGTTGAAGGGAACGGAGACGTAAAGTAAGAAGGAAGGAGAACAAGTCAACTCTTCTCAGGTGAGATGTGGTGGGAAACTACCAGATCCGGTGCAAGCTGAGCTCCAAAGGCTGGTTCTTGCCCTGGTGGCTCTTTGCATGGCCTTGCTTGAGAAGCACCAAGGAGACATGTGGCCAGGAGAGAAGGTGCAGAAGGATCGTGGATGAAGGAGCAGAGTGGGGGAGCAGGAACAAGGGAGGGTGTCAAAGGAAGCCAGGGGTGCTGATTGGGAAGAAAGTGAAGGGAATGGGGTGGCTGGGGTCTGGGCATGAGGTGGGACGTTATGTAGATTTGTGTTCCCGTGTGGCAAAAGCACCAGCCACACTGCCCCAAAGGTGAACAGCAACAGTAGTAGCACTTCCAGGGTGGGCCTTGCACTGCGTGGCTGCAATGACCAGGTCTCAGGCAAGGAATCACTGAGAAGTCTCAGCCCCAGCCCTGCCTCCTCCAGTCTCAGCCTAACCTGTTTAGCTCTCCCACATGCTCCTGAAAGCCAGCACTCATGCCACCTAGCCCTGCACCAGGGGGCAGACCCTGGAACTGCCTTGTGGGCACTGCAGTAAGAGAAGACCCTGTGTTTCTGCCTGGCTTTGTACCAGGAACCTTTGGCATGTTAAGCAAACATGATAACCACAGAAACACACTTCAGTGATTTCTGCTGCTGCACTTGGGCAAATATTTGGTTGCTAACCCTTTGGCCAACAGAGATTGCTGCAGGGCAAAGCAATTCTCTGTTGTCTGTTTTGTGCCGTCAGGAAGGGACCAAACTGAAGGAGGCCCGGCCCCAGCCTGGGGACTCCAACCTAAACCCTGAGAGGCTGCTGTGCCTGGCCCTGGCAAGGCAGGGCTCTGACTGCAATTGCTGGGACAAGTGAACCAGCACCAAGGGCCCTTGTGATTCCCTGGGGTTGTCAGTGTCCAGAGACCCTGCAAGTGCAACCTCTGCAGCTCCTGCAACCATGGAGAGTGACTCTCGTCCCCCCTCTCTTAGGATGGGCAATGGCAACAGGTGGAGGAGCTGGGAGTGAAGTCCCAGAGAGCGGCCCCATGACTAAGCTGGCCAAGCAGCTGCTGGGTATGGGGTAGGTGATGGAGGCAGCCCCCAGTGGTGCCTGGCCAATGTGTCTGCTATCCCTGCCATCCCTCCCTACGTAGCTGGAGTTGGCCATGTCCCCACAGCAGGAAGCCGAAGGGGGCAAAGAGCAGAAGTGCTGGAAGCTGGTGGGGATGGCCTCTGGGTTTGATTTAGAGAGTCTTACTTGGACTTGCTAAATCAAATGCTGTCAGATCGATTGTGGCCATTCGTTCCCAGCTGGACATGGTCCTTGTTCTTCTGCAGGACACAGCCAAAGGAGAGTAAGGACGAGCCAATGGGCATCCAGATCAGATCATACCCTTGTTGAATGGATGGAAACAGAAACCAGACACACACACAGAGCAAGTTTGAATTGGTTCCAGCTGAGGGACGGGTTTGTCTGGTTTATGTGCATTGGCACTAGAGCATGTTAGGGGTTTGTGGTCATTTGAAGAATCCCTGTTCAATAGAAATCCAAAGTGTGACACACCTGGAGATGTAAAAGTTTCATTTAAATTGATGAGCTTTTTAAGGGGGCACTTGTTACACCCCCATAGCAACCATGTGTTTGCATCCAGTGTTGGGAACGGAGCAGGAAACGAGGCTTTTGTATGACTCACATCTCAGGTGGGAGGGACCCTCACTGACCCCCAGAGTGTGACTGGTCCTAACAAGGGATTTGCCCTGAAAGCAGCAGAGCTGGGGCAGGACAGGGAGTCCTGGGAGATGAAGCAGCTGGAGGGAAGCCAGGAGAACAGAAGCCAGCCTGAGAGCTGAGAGTCAGAGGTGCCCACTCCACTCTCACACTACAGGTCCCATGGTGTAAGGGGCAGCACTCAGGACTCTGTATCTTGCAAGCTGAGTTCAAATCTCAGTGGGACCTGCTGTGACTCAGCTGGCTGTTACAAGGTTCAGGTGCTTTAGCTTCCATGCACTGAGGTTCAATAAAGAGACTTTTGTTCCTTTTGCTGGGTGTCTAAGGCCCCCTGGAGCTCCATCTCCAGACTGAGCAGGTGGGCAGGAAGGGCCTGATGCCATCACAGTTGCAGGGCAGGTTACCCACCTTGGCTGTGAGCTCATCCCATCCTGGAGGCAGCCAGACAGTGTAAGCGGGTCAGAGGGAGTATTGGGGGAAGGGTCCTGAGTCCTTGCTCCCAGTCACGCACCTTGGCACAAAGACCAATGGCCCCTGCACAAAGTGCATTGTGGGAATAAGAGTGGGCAGCAGGAAAAGGGCTGGCCCTTCAGAACCAGGGCATAGGCAGGGTAAGATGGGAGTAAATCCTATTACCTCTGCCATGGCTTGGCCCAGGAGGGCTGGGGTCCAGCAATTTTTCACCCCAGCTTTGTGGGAGGCCAAGTAGGAAGGGGCCACTGTAGGTGCACAACCCCCTGGCCTGCTGTGTCTATGGAAAGGCGGGGGAGGACACACACTTGTCACTGGGAAACAGGACGCATGGATCCCACTCGTTCCTGCAGAAAATGAAACAGGCTGAGCATTTTGCAGAGAACAGGCCAGAGGCCTTCTCCTGTCCCTGGAGAGATGGAAATGGGGCCGTTCCGTGTGGGGAAAGAAGTGGGTGTGTTGGGAGTGGGGTTTGAGTTCAAACCTCTCCACAGACCAGAGCCCCACATTAGGGGCAAGAAAGAGCCTTGAGTCAAGCAGTGGAAAACACTTGTCTCCTGTTATGCTGAGATGGGATATTAGAAAGCTTTTTTGCACACAGCCTGGCTAGCTCAGTTGATAGAACATGAGATGCTTACTCTCAGGATCATGGGTACAAGCCCTATTTAACTCACATTCCTTAACTCACATTCTCAGAGCCCTTCCTTAACTCACATTCTCAGCCTGCAAGCAATTGGCTCTCAGTTTTCACCAGGGTTTTAGAAAGAAAAAGTCTAGTCCTGGGTCCAGCTTTAGTAGAACCAGAGAGAGAACCAACTGCAATTTCCATCTTCTGAGGAGAAGGGAAGAGGATTTTCTTCTCCTCAGTTCAAGCCACATCAGCTCAGGGAGGAGAAAAAATAACCCTCTGCCCGCTGATTGTCCCGTCAGCTTCTGTAGCTTCACCTCCTTCACCAGCAGCTCCAGCTTTGAGGTACAAATCTCAAGGGGCTGGTGAGGAAATGAGGAGCCGGCAGCTCCGGTTAGTGGCTTCCGTGAGAGCAAGAGGTGGAGTGTTCACAAGGTGCATTCCCCTCCCCTGCAGAGCAGGGTGTTAGAAAGAGCTAGAAACAGAACAGTCAGCCAAGTTCTATTGCCCTGAGGTGTGTTTCTTTGGTGTAGTGGTTATCACATTTGCCTAACACACAAAAGGTACTTGGTTCAAAGTCAGGCAGAAACACAGGGGCTATGTCTACACTGGCCCCTTCTCCGGAAGAGGCATGCTAACTTTGGAATAGGGAAATTGGCGGGGGATTTAAATATCCCCTGTGGGATTTAAATAAACATGGCCGCCGCTTTTTTTCCAGCTCGGGGAAAAGCTGGAAAAGAGCATCTAGACTGGCGCGATCCTCCGGAATAAAGCCCTTTTCCGGAGGATCTCTTATTCCTACTTTTAAGAAGACCCTGGATTTCCCTATTCCAAAGTTCAAAATTAGCATGCCTCTTCCGGAGAAGGGGTCAGTGTAGATGTAGCCAGGGTCTTCTCT